GGCACGACGCGCGCAGAAAGCATGGAAGAAGATGGAGAAACTCTCATGTCAGACCCGGGTATGTCAAGCGCCTCGGGGATACGCGACACGGGCGGAGGAACTGTTGGGTTACCCGCAGCAGGGATGATGGGTTCTAGAGCCAACCTCGACACGAGAACGAGTGAAAAGAAGCGGCAGACGCGCCCGCCAGTTTTGGAAGGTTACGAAAGCGCATTCCTTTGGTAATTGCAGTTCCTAGGCCACGTCGCATCAGGGCTACCTCATGTGTGGCCATAGGTGAGGTACACAGCGATGAGAATACTTTCAGTAGGTCCGCAATACTATTATTATCTGGGTGTGGCTAGCCACGACCTCTTCTTATGAAGACACATGTAGATCATTGAAGTAATTCGTATCACGTCCTCAGAATCTCAAGAGCCTTTTGTTCTCCGTAGCATTATCATGGCCAACTGAGTAGGAGGTCCTTGTTGGGGGCAAATGAATCGCATTTAGCTTCCCTGGGCGGATATCTTCGGCAGACAGCCGGGGTAACCTAACTCCGCCGCACCCCACCCCTCAAGGCGTTGTGCGTCAGCGCGTCTTTGACGACATTTACACATTCCGAGGGCGGATGAGAGCAAGTAGCATCGACGGAGCGTGGCTCGGCTTCCCATCAGCTTGGCAACAGGTTTCTCAACATGGCACCAGAGATCGGAAGTCTCAGAGCTCTTGCCAACGGGGAAAGCCAGTTTGTTGGCAGTTCTTCAGGTGTCTTCTTCATCAACACCGTTCGAAGGGCCTTCTCAACAGCCGAAGGCTTCGAGGCAGACGATGGACGTCATGCTGCCGGAGCCGATACCCACGATGATCCATCTCCCGAAGATTGCATCGTGGGCGACAATGACCGAAATGACCCGGAGTCTTCGGGGGAGAGGCCAGGTTGCAGCAGCGCTAGTCGAGCGAACTATGAGTCGGATGCTGTGAGCTCACCGATGCCATCAGGGATGGATATCATGACTGATATGAGCTTATTGCCTGATTACACGATTGCTCGGGACCTCTTTCTCACATACTTCCGAATATGGCATCCTTTGGTTCCCTTTCTACAAGGGCCAGAGTGTCTGGCAGATTTGGAAAATCTCTACGCACCCGACTTCAACCGGCGCAGTTCAAGATCGCTCTGCCAATTTGTCATCTTCAAGTGCATCTTGAACGTTGCTAAGCTTGACACAGATGGGCCGCTCGACCTGGGGTCAGCAGCTATACGTTCACCTTCAGACCTCTTACCAACTCTTAGCATACTAGCCCTTCGTTGCGACACAATTTCTATCCAAGCGTTGCTAGCATCTCAAGTTTATTTCGTTTCTACCATGGCGCTACGCCATGCGTCGTCTGTCAGTGGCTTGCTGTCCAAGTCAATCTTTCAATCTGGCATGCATAGATGCCCAGTACGATACGACCATCTGTCTCCGGATGAGCGCTCAATGCGTAAGCGCACCTTCTGGAGCTTTTACGTTCTCGACCGTTTCATCAGCCAGTCACTGGGGCACCCGAATGGCATTCAGGACTCAGACATCGACGTATGCCCGCCAGGCCAGCGAGACCTCCATGAACCAGTTGCAAAGTCAGATCTTCACGGCCAAGTGGAGAACACCTTCCTACACCTACCTGCAAACCACCCCGAACGGTTGGCATCATCTCCAGCGGTTCAAGATAAGACCACGGAGACCTCGCCTGACGTAGACGAGGAACCTGGTAGACATGAGAGAGCCAGTACCGACCCTCCGCCATCCAGCATATCACCCAAGGCTGCCGCGATTCTCCGCCACCGTCAAGAGACACAAGCTGTTCTAGAACATCATGTTCGGCACTCACAGCTAGTGGGAAGAGTTCTAGAAGTCTTCCACAAGTCTATTCATGCTAGAGAAATGGATAATCAAACAGTTTTGTTCCTGAAGGCGGATGTGACGGCCTATGGCAACGATCTCACAGAGCCGCGCTTCACCCCAGCCTTACAAGACATACCACAGCTAACTCCGGACCCCACCGTCTTTCCCTTCGTCAGTTACTATTACACCATACTTTTACTTAATCGTCCCTCTCTTTCACTTGACTCAAGACGTGCAGAGTTCCGTGACGCATTACAGACTTGCATAAATGCTGCCTACGCGATACTCCGCATCATTGAGCAGTATTCAGAATTGGGAGGTCCTTTGTTTTGGCCTGGATACATGTCAGCTGTGTGGATGAGTGGTCTAGTGCTGGCTCTAGCAGCGCGACTCAAAGTTTGCAATGTTGAGAAAGCTCTATCGTGCGTATCATCAAAGTTGCCAGCTGGAGTGTTTTACCAATTCGCTAATGGGAAAGTAGAGGAATCGAATCTTCGCTGCAACTGTTAAACAAGTTGACAAAACGATGGGCAATGGCTCGACACTGCAGAGAAGTCCTATCTGTTCTGCTTCAGGGTATCACACAGGGACCTAAAACACATAAGAGAGTCCGAAAAGATACCACTGAGGGCTCAGATCATGAGGATGGTCAAGATGTCACACAAAAGTCTGCCAAGCGAAGCAAGAGGAGGATAAGAGGCACTAATGCGTCTGGGCGACAAGATCAGCCCATAAATCTTGGTACAATGTCTCCGCGACGGCAACTACCAATATCAAACACCAACCATAACACTCAAAGCCCGATTCCAGCCCAACGGCTAAGAGATAGCAATCCCGTTCCAAGGGTCTATGAAAGCCAAAGACAGAATCATTTCAACTTCGAGACATCCGACTTCAACCCAAACAGCCCTCGGCCAAACCAGAGTCAGCCCCGTCCAACCGATGCCAGCCAGCTTTTCTCGCCGGCTGACTTCAATCTTCAAAACAGCACCTCATCTATGAGTTCCTATTTTGCTCCCATACCTACAACATTTCCGGATCGCAATAGAAACCCATCCAATCAGGTCATGGATAGACAGTTTGGAGTCACTGACAACTTTTTCGACATGTTCGATGGAGCTACATGGGGTTCACTGCTGGACATTGTGAACGATGCAGGTGCAGAAGCACAATATCCATACTAAGAGCGAGAGCTTCGTCGTTTGGCGCCTGTGAAGCCTTTCAGTTCGACTTCGAATCTGATCAAGGGCGCGGCGGCTTACTGATTCTTACAAGTTCGAAAGGCAACGTGGTCAGGCTACGTCATCGCTCAATCTTAGCTGAGAGAAGAATGGTCTATGTAGGCAGTGAGAATTACATTAGAACCAATGTCGCTGTCAATTGTCTACCCTGGCAATGGCTGGTCCCTTTACGCCTGTGACTGGATGAAAGCCTCTCCCTTTTTGATGTTTCCTCCCAGTTCATTAACGGCCACCTTCAAAAGACCCTTTTCATAATCAGACAAAGATCCAATGGGATGCGCGGTCTCGGCACCGCCAGGCCCGAAGGTCACTGGGACAGCAAAGTAGCTCACTCCGAGCTCGTGGGCAACAGCCTCACCTCCTTGCAACCCAGGGAGGTAGACATAGGCAGGCTCCACGATACCACTCTGACCTTGAGAAGCCTTGATAATGGCTTGAGCAAAGCTAAGAGGGTGTTCTGATAAGCAACTATTCATGGACTAAACAGATGTATTTCTTAAAAGGACTGGACTTACCGGAAACCAGCGTACGCCATACATGTTGTCGCAGACCCAGCACCGGCCTTGGCTTTGACAATTTCGTCCCCGCCGAATTGGACTCCTGCAAATGCTACATCAGCTTGCGCGTTTACCATCTTCATGACGAATGAACTTACTGTTTGTGATTGCCTCAATCTGCTCTTGGCTAAGCTGTACTGAGGGCTGGGATTGGCTAATCAACGGCAAGATTGTTGCTCCGGAATGCCCGCCAACAACAGGGACCTTGAGATCCTGTGGGCTGATATTGCCAAGGACATCAGCAACAAACTTGGATCCGCGCACAACATCCAGTGTCGTGACGCCAAACAAGCGCTTGGGGTCGAAAACTCCGTGCTTCTTCAACACTTCGGCCGCAATGGGGACTGTGCTGTTGACTGGATTGGTGATAATTGCAACAAATGCCTTCGGGCAGAATTGGGCAACACCAGCAGCCAAGTCTGCAATGATGCTGGCGTTGGTCTTGAACAAGTCTAAAAGTGTGTAAGCCCAAAGATTCAGGTTGTGCTGGAGCTGAAGGCCTAACCATCACGAGTCATGCCCGGCTTGCGAGCAATGCCAGCAGAGATCAGTACGACTTCCGCCCCGCTAAGAGCCTTTTGAAGACCATCATTCTCGGGGAGATAGCCCTTGACGACTGAAGGAGTATCAATGTGGTTGAGATCCGTAGCTACGCCCACAGCGTGAACAACATCGTAAAGTCTAAGATCTGTCACAAGAAGTGACTATGATGAAGTATTTCAGTTGCCTTGCGCTGGATACCTACCGTATGAATGAGGCTTTTGGAGTCATACCGATTTGAGTAGGAGACTTAAGGGTTGTCCAATCTGCCCCGAGGCACCCAAAACAGCGACTTTGACCATATTGAAAGAAGGTAAGGAGGTTTCTGCGTCTGAGAACGTTGAAATTGCACGATTTCGGGCAGCAAGATGTTTCAGTGGCGCTTAGGGAGATGATCGAGATGACTTGAGGTAACAGGAGCATGTGAGTCAGATATCACCAAACTAAATGTAGTAGCACACGTGCAGTACGCAAGAAATATGGCGTCAACTTTTAAAAAAAATCACCCCGATACTATCTACCGATGTGCTCTCGATAATCCATACAATAGCCTCACGGATGAAGTGCCCCGGTAGAGGAAGGGTGTCGGCTTTCGAATCCCGCGGCTCATCATTTAAGCGAAAGCATCGCCGGTCTTCGCCCTGTCGCTAATACGACTCCTCCGACTTCAGGAACACTCTGAACTCTTGCCAAAGGTCTTACACAAATTCATTCACATAAGTTGACAGTTCAGATCACGGTCATTTGGTCTCATCACATCGGTTCAACCAGTCGGATCACTACCTACCGCCACAATGTCTCCTCAATCCCTCAAGATCGCAGTCATCCCTGGCGACGGCATCGGCGTCGAGGTCATGCCATGGGGTATCAAGAGTCTCGAAGCTGTCGCCAAAATCTTCGAACTTACGCTGGAGTTTGAGTGGTTCGACTTTGCCAGCTGCGCATACTACCACAAGCATGGGCAGATGATGCCTTCGGACTGGAAGGAGAAGCTTCTCAAGTTTGACGCCATCTACTTCGGCGCTGTGGGCATACCAGACCAAGTTCCCGACGATGTCTCTCTCTGGGGTAGCTTGCTCAAGTTCCGCCGCGAGTTCGACCAATACATCAACCTGCGTCCCTGTCGTCTGATGCCCGGCGTCACCTCTCCCTTGGCCAATCGGAAGCCAGGCGATATTGACTTCTGGATTGTTCGTGAGAACACCGAGGGCGAGTACAGCAGTATTGGCGGCAAAATATTTGAGGGAACCGACCGGGAGACTGTTATCCAAGAGACTGTCATGACTAGAGTTGGTGTTGACAGGGTTCTTCGTTATGCGTTCGACCTCGCTCAAAGCCGTCCTCGCAAGTGTCTCACAAGTGCCACCAAGAGCAATGGTATCAGCATATCCATGCCTTATTGGGACTCTCGTGTGGTAGAGATGGCGAAGAACTATGAAGATGTCCAGGTTGACAAGTACCACATCGATATCCTCACTGCCCACTTCGTACAACGCCCAGACATCTTTGACGTTGTCGTTGGAAGTAATTTGTTTGGCGACATTCTATCGGACTTGGGACCTGCTTGCACAGGTACTATTGCCATTGCTCCTTCAGCAAACATCAACCCAGATGGCAAGTTTCCTAGCTTGTTCGAGCCGGTGCATGGCAGCGCACCCGACATCGCTGGCAAAGGCGTAGCCAATCCTGTTGGAATGATCTGGGCTGGTCAGATGCTGCTCCAATACTTTGGCTTTACGGACGCTGCAAGCTTGGTACTGAAGGCCATTGAGAACGTGTTGGGACGCGCAGAAGCCGCGGTTTTGACCCCAGATATGAAGGGCTCAGGCAACACGACGGCGTTTGGAGCAGCTATTGAGGCGGAAATTGTGGCACTGGGGGAGAGGAAGTGAGTAGAGCACACTTATTTCATTATGCCGTGGAGACGAAGATATATGTGGATGGCTGGAGTCTGAAGAAGACGTGGAATGAAGGAAAGTAACTAGAAAATGTCCGGCTCGGACCGCCAGGTCAATATCAACAATGGAAATGATTGATTATTTATTCTTATGCTTGAAGTCAAAATGCGGGAACGATAAGAGTTACAATTAACTATGAACGATCTTCAGCAAACAGCGATCTTCTCGGGTTTGCAATATATATATCGGCTTCTCGGCTTCTGCACGAGCCTTTGAGAGACTACTGGCAGCTCCAGGGGAAAAGGTTGCAAAACAAATGGTATCGTCTATGAAGTTCACGTACAGAATTTGATAATTACTTCACCTACATTTATATTCTTATCATGAGTGAATATGATTGTTTCTCTTCTTTAAAGTTTCGTAGACATCATCACTCAGATTGGCAAATCATCTTCATTTGGGGGAATCTTGCTGGCGTCGCGGAAATGACCATTCCTCTTTCCACCCCAATCACGTTGACGAACATGACGTGATATTCATGCCGTTTAGAGTTGGTGAGTTGCTGCAATCTACTGGTACTCTTACTTTACGAATAGCCCGAATCTAGCACCAATAGTGGACCGCTTTTAGTGCAGTTGGTAAATGCCCTCGTACCGGAGCTGACTGGATTCTCGGCCGAGAGACGGAGCCGCTAATGTTGCCAAGATCTCATGGGGTCGAAGGATTCGTCCAATTTCCCAAACGAAGTTCCTCCTTTTCTGATGTGAGATGCACGAGTGGTTTCTTCCGTCAGCCCATTTCGACATTCATTCAATTCGCCTCTTCGAGGCGCTTTCGGGCGCACTATGGGTGTCTTCTACGGCATGGTCACGATCGTCTTTCTCTTTGTAACGCACTTAGCAACGGCTCAGCTACCGACCAATGCCATTGAGCTCGACCTCGTGTTCCCCCGCGCAGGTGGGAAATACTCCAAAACAAACGACGGCTTCCCGGTCCTCTTTTCACTGCAAAACCCCAATGTCGCCTATCATTTCGGCTGGGTTTTCTCATGGGATATCTACAAGAAGCCTCATGGACAAATACAGAGACTACCTTTCAACACCATTGGGTCCATCCTGAAGAACGACACAACCTATCCCGACAACCCGCACATAGAGGCCCGCTACGCAGATGTACTTGACGTGGGCGAGTACACGTTCTCCTGGACCATTCATACCGGACCTTGGTGTAATCTTTCCAAAACCTGGGTCGAGTATTCAGCCAACGAAAAGATCGGCAACGGCACTTTCGACTTCACCATTGAGCAGGGAGCCCCGACACCAACCTTCACTGGGACATGCCCAACTGCTTTGGGCATGATTAACTACGCGTCATTGACGACATATCACGGTCTTTATGATGGAGCGTACGACGATCCAGTCACCAGCCCGATGTCATGTGCCATCACGACCAATGTGACCTTCACAGCAGAGCCTTGTAGGGCAACAGTCAACGAAGCGCAGGCTACGAGTATCTCCAGTCAACTTCATTTGGGGACCTACGCAACTGCGTCAGCCACGGCTTCGCCGACGGGCTCCGCCGCTGCTGCCCAGCGAACGCTGAACAAGAGCCTAATATGGGCTGTCACGTCGGTCGTTGTTCTGTTTGGCGCTCATGTGGCCCAATGATGAATCATATGCCACGTACGGAAAGATGAGATTCTTCGAGCATGCCTGCGCGTGCTGAAGGTTGGCCACGGCCCCGAACTACTATTACTGTTACGGTGTTACCCCATCCTGGCCAGTTTCATGTGGAAAGTCCGATGTCAACAAACCTCTATCCCGGCAACCCGCGTCCTGAATGGGTAGAGCCCAGAGAGATTGTATGCATGCTGCAGGGTTAGTGGGGATTTAAGCGGGAACGCGACGGGGCAGGCGGAAGCTCACGGATCACAGCCTAGATCGGGATGGCCTGCATCCTTGTGGGACTTGGGGATTAGAAAGAGATGAGGCTCACTAGTGTTCATGGTAAGTTTGACTCAAACAAACATCATCAATCTATGTTTTCATATTTTCGGCGTAGTCCGAACATCCAGTAACTTCATGACACTTTGCATCGAGTATGGATACGATGCCATTGATCTTGTCTAAAAGAAACTTCCAAATCGCGCCTAAAGTAGCCTTAACACAAGATCTTCGCCATTTTGGGTCTCAAGTGGATCTCAACTTGTTTTTGCCAACTCAAATGCTGTTGGCCAAGACGGCTGAGGTGCTTCCAGCCGGAGGAGATGCCGAATTAGCCATCACCTGCATTGAGTCTCACGCGGTCATTTATGACCATGTGTCAAAAGGAACGATCACCCACGTTTACGTGCGGCGCAGGAGATGACTTTCTTCATAACTCCGGGGCGACAGGGAAGTGATCTCGGGGTCTCAATCCTCATGCGGTCGTGTCATTGCTTTTGCCTCCAGAAGCGCGTGTCAGCGGCACATGTGCTGCCTCTCTCGATCGTAGATCAATCATGACACCCCCCGACACTTTTCTCAAGGGTTTCTCAATCTTTTCCTGTAGATTCTCTCAATCCAAAACTCGCGCCGAGTTCCATCGATACTAATGGCGGCATCTGATGGATATTCCCTCGATACCAGATGACCCGAGCAGCCTCCCCTTGACGGGGACGTCGGCGTTCGTCGGAGAACCCCCCTCAACTCAGAATGATTATTTCATCGTCAAGGGTCTCTTCCGCATGGCCGGAATGACGACTGCCAACCCGATGACAGGTTATTCCCTCGTCGCCAAGCAACCTCCCGACTACTCCCACGAGACGAAGTTGCCCGGCGTTTTGGCAGGCCTCGTTTTCGTTATCCTAGCTGTTGTTGCGCCCACAGTTGCAAGAGCATGGCTTAGGTTGCGAAGAGGTTCGGTCATGCAGTTCGGCTGGGACGACTGGACCATCATCGTCGCTGCTGTACGTGCTAGACAGATGATAGATCGAAAATACCTCCATGAACTGACTCTGCCCCCGACAGCTTGTAGCTCTTGTTTACCCAATCGCGCAACTCCATTCCCTCGCAATCGGTGCAGCTTCCCTCCATGTCTGGGAAGTCACTTACGAACAACTCAACAACGGCGTCTTATTGGCCATGGTTTCCAAGACAGCATTCTTCGTTGCCGTGGGTATGATTAAGCTCTCCATAGCAACTTTCATGCGAAGACTAGCGGACAGACTCCCGAGGTGGTGGCGAATCGCATGCGACATTTTCATCGGATCGACTTTTGCATACATCTTACTCGCCATCTTCCTAAACGTCTTTGCATGCAGTCCGCCAGCAACGCAGTGGAACCTGGCAACCCGTGGAAGACGAGAGTCAGCTCCTTCGTGTATCAACATGGAAAGCCAGTCAAAGATTCTAACTGGCTTTCATGTGGCCCAGGGGCTCATCTTGATGACCGCGCCTGCTGTTATACTGTGGAAAATCAGGATGGGAATGGCAAAGAAGATTCGACTGTTCGCAATCTGGATGATTGGTGGTTTAGCAGTTTTGAGTGGTTTACTGCATCAGATTCTCCCCACGCTCACTAACGACTACACATGGGACTATACCGAAGCCCTGCTATGGGCATGCCTGGACTTGTCGTTAGGAGTTGTGACAGCTTCACTACCGGTATTGGACAGCTTGATGGAAGAGTACTGGAGAAGGGCGAAGACCACCATGGTCAAATCATACGGCGGAAATGCCTCATCCCTATCAAGAACCAGCGAAGATAGCGCATGGCCTTACACGAAGACTGCAGGCACAGACAAGAGTCGGAAACATGCGGCGAGGTCTCCTATCACCAACATCACAATCCCGATGGAACGCTCAGAGTCTAGGGAGAGCATCGTCAAGAGGGAGGAGTATCACGAAACCAAGGTTGGCGCGATCGAAATGGGCATCTTATGCACTCAAGAGATTGAAGTGCATGTCTCTGATGCGGATGATGTGGAAAAGGGCCGGGCGGAAAGTCGTGGACCAAGGTCACCATCACCATTTTACCACAATAGGCCAGAGTGGCACGACAACTCATATAAGTTCTAATCCAAAAATTACTCAAGCCCTTGCCAAATTCTATTGCCAGTGTGAAATGCTGCAATAGGCGAGACCGGTAGTGGTAAGTTAAACATGCTTTGATCAATTTACCATGCATAGCTTTGAGTCAACCCACCTTTCCAGTGTCTTGTTTCCGTGGACTTGAGCACTATTATGAAACAGTTCCCATCAAAAGAGTTGAGACGTGGAAGGTGAAATTAACAAGAAATGATCAAATTGAATATCTCTGCATGCTGCTGAGCATCATCTCACAACATGTGGTCAAGAAACCTCGCTATGCCGCCTAGCCACTCACAACACCATCAACAACGCCCCTAGCCTCTTGCTTTTCAATATGACAACGGCCGCCGACTCCCCGAACCTCAAACACGTCCATATAGATTAGAAGCCGCCGTTGGGGTGGATCAGAACCTTCGTGTAGCCGTCGATTCTCTTGTCAAACTTCTCATACGCGACTTCTGCATCATCAATGTTGATCTCATGTGAGACGACAAAGCTGGGCTTGGCCTTGCCCGCGATGATCAAATCACGTAGGTATCGGTTGTACGCCTTGACGTTGCACTGTCCTGTTCCAAGGGAGAGTCCCTTCTCGAAGAGCTTACCGAAGCTCAAGCTGATCATGCCCTTTGCCGAAGCATCATCGGACGCCCCAGGGTCGCTATAAACGTGCATCGTTAGAGCCGCAAAACAAGCCAAGTGAAAGAACAGAATATTACCTCGGAACGTAAAGTCCTGGAATGCCAAGTCCACCGCAGGCTCGTGTGACCTTGATCATATTCTCCAACACAATGTTGGGCTGCTCAGTGTTTCCACCGGCACTCACGGCCTGATATCCAACAGCATCCACAGAGCGGTCAACTTCTCCGCCATTCAGCTTCTTGATTTGCTCGACAGCATCGCCTTGGGTGAAGTCCACTGGTGTACATCCGATCTTCTCGGCGGACTGAAGACGCTCGGGAACGCGATCGACCACATAAACTCTTGATGCGCCGCGGAGAACTGCCGAATAAGCGGCCATCAGTCCCACAGGGCCGGCACCGAAAACAGCGACGCTCTCGCCGGGCTTGAAGCCGGAGAGCTCGATGCCGTGCCAGCCAGTGGGAAAGATATCTGGTAGAGCGCACAAAGTCAGCAAAGTTTGGAGGACCATGGAGATGGTAGATAATACGTACCTGCAAGCAAAATGAAATCTGACTCAAATTCTTTGCCAGCAGGAAGCTTCAGAGCGTTGAAATCGGCGTAAGGAACTCTGATATACTGTGCTTGCCCACCAGGGTAGGGGCCCATGGCAACATATCCTTCAAGACGTGTAAGCTCACATATCTTGTTGATGTACACGAGATACTGGCTTACCATAAGCACCACCGGCGAATCCAGGGTTTACACCAGTGCAGAATGCTGTCCGTCCCTCTTCACAGTTGTGGCAGCGGCCATCGGCGACGTTGAATGGCATTACGACACGATCTCCCTTCTTGAGAAGAGTGACACCGGCGCCAAGCTCCTCCACGATTCCCATGTTCTCATGGCCTGCAACGTATCAGAAACTGTCCCATGATCGGTAAATAAATGTAATCAGTGACTAACCGAATGTGATGCCGGCCTCTGCGGCCGTTCTTCCCTCGTACATGCTATGAATAGTGAGTGACTGCGCGCTGATGTTGCTTCAATGTCAGTAGACTTACTGCAAGTCTGAGCCGCAGATAGCTGCCTGAAATTTTGCTTAGCATCAGTCATGTGGGAGGAGAGAGGTCCATCTTACAGTGGTAACTTTGACGATGACATCGTCGGGATGCTGAATCTTGGGTAACGACACCTCCGATACCTTGACCTTGTAAGGGCCCTGGTAGTTGACAGCTTTCATTGTTGGAGACGACATGATGGCGATTACTTTCTGGGCTCAAAGTGAAGGTTTAATGATTGAGGTCAACCTACGAAGCTCAAGCGCACCTTCGAGCAGCAACGGACATATTTATCCCAAGAACCCCTCACGAAACCCATCTACCGAACAAATCACCAAGAATATCTTCCCCATCTCTCAATAGGCCCCGGATGACCGGCTCCCAGTCAAGGACCGTCATCGCCGCGGGATATCTTTCTAGAACGAGATAGTGGCCTGCGCCGCTGCGGGGTAGTGCGGGAAACTTTCGCCAAGACGCGGGGATGCCGCCGCGATCCAGTTTGTGTCCGGCATGTTTTGGCGCTGGTTCACGCTGGTTGATGCGTGGGAAGATGACTGGGGGACTTGGTGTTTGCTCCCGAGTGGGTACACGAGGATGAACTCCGAACCCCCGAGAGTTCAGACTACGCAGTAAAGAGTCCCTCATCGGCGAATTACTGCCTTTTGTAGAGTGCGGGGGAAGGAGGGGACCCAAGGTGACCCCTACCTTAGCTATGAGATCTCACGTTGATGAACCATTCGATGAAGCTGCTGTCAAGTCCATAAGAGCTTCCCCAGCGCTTTGAGACGTCTGCAAGTGATACACGCAGGATCCTTGATCCATCAGTCTTACCCCAAGTTTCATTTTTGCATGACGTATTTGGAGAATAAGAGGGTCTTTAGGGATGTGGTTTGGTGAGGAGACGGGCAAAGATGCACGGCACGCGCAGGAATCCAACTTGACTCCGCAATTCTCGCCGAACATTTCTCTTCTCGACCTGTTTCTGCAACATGTCCGGCGCACTGGAACTAGAAATAGACTGCCGAGGCTCTGCATGGACTTGCGTCTATAGCCGCGAGATAGCTAAAGTAAGTGACAAGAACCCCACAACGTGTCACGTAACAGGGATAGTAACCGCATCTCACGAAGTGCCCGTCACGTGCTGAATCACGTGTCTATCTCAGACATCGTGTATATAGACCTTTTCCTTTTGTCTATTTCTACTTTAATATGTTAAGCCACTTTTACCACACTCCGTATGCCCATTGCTGCGTGCCATAACTCGTGACAGT